GTGGAGGGAGGATTTGCCACTTCAAGTTGGACAACCTCGCGAATGGATCCGAGCAATGAGACCATCTGACACATGGTAATTGTCCTTGCGGGAGGACACTGTTGAGCCCGAAACACAAACATATTAAACAATTGATAAAGATAATATTTTCTTGTTTATATCAACAATTCAAGTGTGTGTGTGGTGGGGGGGGGGGGGGGGGGAAAAAAAAAAAAAAAGCAATATTTAAAAAAAAAAAGTTCTCATCCACGTCATACATTCAAGAGACGTGAAAAAGAGAGAGGGAAGGGGAGAGAAAGAGAAGAAAAAGGGAAGGGAGGGAAGAGGGGGGGGGGGGGGAAGAAAAAGAAAAAAGGCCTATTTCACAGTGGTTATTTTAGACGGTGCAGATTCACTGATCGGAAAATTGTTTCTTCTCTGTGTTCCTTTTTGAGAAAACTGAATGGGTTCTTCACTTCAACCCAGGTTGTGCCCTGGCTTTTATAATTACTTCAATTTACTTGTACAACTTCTTCGATTTGGGTGAGTCCTTACTGCCCGATCTCCCCATCGCCACTGTTGCTTAGTTTTCAAGCAGACATCTGTTTGTGGCATCCCTTAGTTCTCTTCTTGGTTGTTTCTCCTTCATTCATCCATTCTTGCTTTTGTCCGAGTCCATAGACGCTTTAGACAGCATTACAATGTTTCCATATAATTAGTTGTTTCTCCATCTGGCACACTCCCTTTCAAGGCAGCGCCCGCATTCCATGTCTGCTTTAGAGAGCATTATGATGTTTCCTTTCTCGTCCTTGATCCAGGGGTTACTGAATATGGGTTGCCTTAGGACTTCATCTCTCCTCTTGGGACCTACCCTGTTCTCAGGGTTTTTTTCCCTCCAATTTTGAATTAGTTAATCACCCCGCGCCGCACAAAAAAAAAAAAAAAAAAAAAAAACAGTCTAGCACATCTAGTGTCCTAACAGTGGACATGCTGCCTGCATAAATCTGAATTGTGATTCAAATCTGAATTGTGATTCAAATCTGAATTGTGATTCAAAATTCAAATTTCAAATCTAAGTTTTTTTTTTTCACCACCTTTTTTGTTTTGCTGAGAGCCTGAAACTGTTACACAACCAAACAAAAAAGAACATTTCAGTAGAATGCACTTTGCAGTATGAAGTTATGAACTTTGAAGTTAGGGGCAACTTCAGTAGAGTAAAACAAAGGAGTTACAATTGCAGTGCGGGGCAAGATACACTTTGCAATTGCACTTCCGGCACCCTACCTGGCCAGAAGAGTCAAAAAAAAAAACAAGTTGCAATTGCAGTATGGGGCGGGCAAGACCCACTTTGCAATTGCACTTCCGGCACCCAACCTGGCCAGAAAGCTGGGTTGTATACATTTCCCGAACTGCAATTCGAAACTGTATCTTGGCCCGTAGTGCAATTATAACTCGTTTCTGGGACTCTCGCATAGTTTCCCCTTGAATTTATTACAAATAAACGAGGTCGACCTGAACGTACGCGTTCATTCCTCCTCCTTTTCTGTGAGTCCACCCCTTAGTTCGTATCGACCTGCAATTCAGAACAGTAATAGACATGCTGCCTGCAATTCTGAATTGCCATTCAAATTCAACACCTCTGAGCTTTATCGATCTTTTTTTTTTTCAAAAAATTATCAGGCCCCTTCTATTCTGGCAGGGGCCAACAGTCTGGTTGCTTATCACCGGCAAGCATTTTTGTACATCCAAGAGAAAAGGGGGAGAATACAAGAGAAAGAGTCAGCCTATCCCTTGCGGCCCTAGCCGCCTAAAAGGGGGGACCTGCTACAGGGCATCCCTCTCCCCGGTCCCTGGGGAGGGAAGCTTCCTACCTGCACCCAGTCACTCAGCAGGGCAGCCTCCCGGA